CAATTCCTCCTAGTCCTGAGCTCCAATAGCTTTGAGGTCTTCTACAAAGATCCTCCTTACGCTCCAAGAGACTCAATGGAAATTAATGTCAATATTTCATTTAGTCAACATTCTCAATATTAACCAACGGAACTTAGCCAGCATGAGCATGGCTAACAAGAAACACATATATCCTTTTGGAGTTTCAAACCCTCCACCTACGCAATATACAAGAAACGGAAAATAATTTCCCGGAAATTGTTCTAATTAAGCTAGCCAAGAAATGAGAAATTAAATTAGAGAAAGATACTAAATTGGCGAAGAATGTTAAAGACATATATAATTACAGATCTTGATCAACTCCCCTTTAAGTTCACAATCTCCCAATCACTTATTTCATACAGAAAATCAATCGATAAACCACAACAAAACTTAGGTATTCAATGACTCCACAAAAAGAGAGCATTTCAATTGATTGGTTAGTAGCTTTCTCATGCAAACAAAAAAACCCTGTTACGCCGCACATACCTTCCCCACCTTCATGAAGAATTCAACGTTCGTCCTTCCCATAAACTCGGCACAGGTGGCTTTTTCAACGAACAGCCTTCCTTCCCTACCACATGGCCTCTGCATCTTCAACATGACAATCCAATGACCGCATCCGAACTAGCTGTTTTGAAGAATCACAAGCCGATCAAGTTGGTGCTTCGTTCATCTCATTGTATCTTGAAAAGGTTCTTCAATTTCACCACCAGTCTCCACTCCTCCGTGGACAAATCATCCTGTACATTCACATATTCATTTTATTTGTTGGCTAAAACCAAAATAATTAAATAAATAAATAATCACATGTCTCCTATAACCATCCAATTCAAATTCAACAGATTAGACATTTTGTAATTCTTCTCTAGTATATCCAATGGTCTAAAACTATAGACTACATTGTGTTGGACTATAACAATTTCTCAGATTTTTTCTATTAAACAGGGGAAAAGAGAGGGAAGAAAAGTAAACTAACCCGATAATTGGCTTTGAGTAGGTCAATGGACTTCCTTGATATATGACTGACAAGTTCATCCTCCAAATCAAAATGCCTACCATACATCTTTTGCTGCTCCTCCGAAGAGTGCCCAACAATCTGATGGAAGAACCCAAGGAAACATCAGCACAAAATTGCTACCACAAGGATGATTATAAGAATTTAAGAAAAGTTTCTAATAAAAGTGCATCAGTCACATAGAAACCAGTAAAATAACAAAAGGGGTTACCTTAATGGCAATCTTCTGCCCCTTCTTTGCATAATCAACAGGTTTGTGATTATTTTCAATAGATGCGATGCGACCAATCTCAATAAATTCTCGTTGAGGAATACAGATTGGTGTGCCAACCTGCAGCAACGGTAAAACATCAAAAAGATTGAACTACAGGTGATTTATCAAAAATGCATTCTTCAACCAACAGTAAAATGTTGGTAAATAACTTACGACATTATATTTCAAAAAAAAATTAAAAAAAATGCAAAATATATGCTTTAAGAACAAGGGTGACAAGCAAACCCAACGCTCCTGAGTCAAATATGCACTATAATACTTTTCTTTTCTATCGTGTCCATATGACCACGAATGCCTGTGAAGTATGTGTTGGATCAATTACAGAAAGATCAAACACTAGATGTCCAAAAAGTGTCACAGAATGATTAGACGTCCACATCCAATGCATGTTAGTACAAAAATAACAACCGAAGGTGATTGACCTGATCAATGGTCAACCTTACTTTTTGGCCTTCCTTTACTTATAAATTTTGCCCCACTAGAGCGATTTTCCGTTTTCACCATTTTTTTCCTTTGGATTCAATTTAGGACCTAACTAAGAGTTTGGGAGAATACCAACTTCGAGAAACAAGAAAACCAAGCCTCCGAACAACCTGAACACAATAAGTAACCATTTGAACTTTTTCTTGAAAAATGCTGGTAGGAATCAACTAGGATTTGAGCTAAATAGACTTTGAGCATGGATTAGGGTAGAAATTACCTAAACTTGAGTACTCGACTTGATAAAATGAAATTTTGAACGGTTTAGTACCTATGGACGATTTATGAGCTTCTGCAGTTTTGATGGGACTCTGATTTGACTCGATGAATGATTGAGACTCTGGTTAGAATGACTGTACTTTACCATGCGTGATAATAGGAAGAAATGTCTGATGTTGATTGCTAGAACACGTCAGGTGGTTAAACTTACACAAATGCTCATATATGGATGCTTAATTACCATGTGATCTAGATGATTTATGAGCATGATCAGAGTCTTGGTCATAAAGTTACTATACCTTGGTCTATGAGCCACAACCGGTGTCATTGAGGTAGCATGGGTTGTCTAGTACTACATGGAGGCAGTTAGGACATAAGCCCTAATCGTGAACTTGTCTTGACCGGCAAGGGTCTACCTAGTATACAGATGGTACTATTGTGGGAGCTCAAGATGTGCTTAGTGGCGAGTCTACCAGGCACTATTGGAGGAGTATAGATAGGCATTTAGTAGCAAAGCTTGTTAGGCACCTTGAGGGAGCACCAATCAGCGTTCAGTAGTTAACACTATGGACTCTATTAAGGAGATCACATAGTGGTTGCAAATAGGGAATTTTATCGAGAGAAACATGATCCAAATAAAGAGGACCCTAAAGCTTGAGATTCTGAGGTTGATAAGGCACATCCCATCTCTTCTAGGAAGATCGCATAAGGAACGAAACAAAGCATTGAGAATCGTAACTAACTAACTAAGTGCACCTAGAACCCTGAGTAACCCAGATCGGTGAAACACACCCGTAGAGATGGAGTGACAAGGTACAATAAAACAAATGGGCCTAATAGACTTACATTGATAAGGACCATGAGATTGGTGAGCTTTCGAACCTGGACAAGATTGATGGAGGTGATACACCTAGATGCTGCCCTTAAGTAGTCTAGAATATAGATACATGGTGTAGGTTGCTTATGGAGTATTTATATATTCATCATTGCTATTCTTTGTTTCAAACAATCCGTGAAGTAGCAGTTGATGGCAAAGGCGCTCAGGAGATGTGACTACAAGGGGCCCCTAGATCCATGTCTTGTAGTCGCATGTGTATTTTGGTTTTGTATTTGTATTTGACTATTATAATCATTTTATAACTGACTCACGTGGATGTATTTTGTATTTCAAATGTTTTATGAATTTTATGTAATTCGGTTTCGAACTTTGAGTTCCAACCCTCCACTTGAAAACGAAAAAATTTTATGAAGTCTTTTAAATTGTGTATGTACGTAATGATCCTTTTATTCGAAGTCTCGAAAAAGGGTCATTACAGATTGGTATCATAGCCCTAGGTTAATACGTCCAATACACTACTCCCTAGATAGAGAGTCATTGAGTGCCTTGCAGCTCGGAGTAAGAAACGCCTACCCACGACCAGGTAAATAAGTAGCCATTTTGAATTCTTTATATAAGTATATTTGTAGGGTTGACTTGGTCGAGCATGATTTAGATAAAAATAAGTTAGTAACTAGTTATACACATGATTTAGCCTAAGAACCACAAGTTAGTAACAGAGTGTGACTAGCTTGCTCAGGCTAAGAATGTGAGTTAGGGTGTTCCCTGGCCTCCTAATCTTTAGAGGGTAGAACAAGCCACTAGTCCAAGAATCAGTTGGGAGTAAGCCACGAGAAGTCCTTAAAAGGTAAGCTAGGTTGTGAGGATTTATTTTGCTTCTAGGTACATAACCTACTACTTATGAAGGCCAGTCCAAGAACACCTCATAATTCCAAAGAGGAACCCAACTAGTAGCGACGATTTATGGCTGATGAGGTACAACATGGATCCGAGAGATTAAGACACTCTTTCAAGAGTTCAAAACTGACCAAACTGTGATAGGTCCATAGATCCACACTAGGATGTGAGATTTAGTCCACCCCTAGAACCAAGATCCCTTACTCAGAAGAGTCAGTCCAAGGGTCAATTTTTCATCAATTCCAAAGTGGAGTTCAGCCAGTAGGGGCGGTTTGAAACTATTATAGTACAGATCCGAGGGATCCTTCAATATTCCCACACAGGCTTAAGGGCTAGATACCATGTTAAGGTGACAAACCTTGAGCTAGTAAAAGATTTAAGTTATGTCATATGTTATGTCTTGCCTCATGACTTGTGCACACAGGCCAAGAGGGCAACGGTCTGCATGGTGGTATCAATTATGGGGTCATGCAGCTACAAGTTCTGTGAGGATTAGTAGTCAAGCCAATAGCTCCTATTTGTGAACCTATCACAGTGATGGGGTCAACAGTCAATCATAGTAGTTATCAGGAGTTGGATAAGCCAAAGTTGTGCTCTAAGCATAGTTATGTGCCACAAACAAAACTCAAGGATGTCCAACTACTTGTTAGTCATAAACTTGTCCATAGGACTACGGGCCTGCATGAGCGCATGAGTGTATTACCTTGGCAGACACGTGGTTTGCTCCAACTCAGATTATGATGATATTATATGGCCTATTAGGGAGTCATCAGCTAATCCCTTTTAGTTGACCAGTACTGAGTGATATTTTCCATAATGTCCTTGCAACTCAATAGTTGGGGTAGTGAGAGGTCACGCCTCACCAATGCATGACACTTGGGTATGACACAAGCAATAACATTTCAATGTGGCTAACCAATTTATCCTAAAAATCCCGTAAATACCCTAGAGGGGTATAGATAAAGTCTTAGGGAAAGAGTACGAGCTATCATGAGACAATGAAGGCTCAAACAGGGCCAGTACATGAGATACTATGAGGGATAGTAGTTCAGTATGGACCTTGATAGGTCAGGACACAAGGAACAGATACTTAGAGGGTACAGTGCCCTACAAAATCTCACTTAGAGCTACAAAAATCCGAAACTGTAAAGCATGAAAATACTATCAACACAGGCTTGACATGCTATAATTGTTGAAAGGAATATAAAGGCGCAAGAGTACAAAGGACTTGCCGAGGTGATACAAGAAATGCTAAGACATGGGTGATTCACAGCATGGTACGAAGGGAAATGGAGCATGTCTCTTCTAGCACACCCTAATGAGAAACCTCGACAGGGATTGTAGACCACGAGCACAAAATGGGTAGAGAGAACTATCAAGATCCCATTGCTAAAGGTCATGGGTAATTACGGCATAAGTACTTAACTATAGATTGCGCCTAAGAGTGAGGAGTCTGGGGAAGAACTCCCCAATCAGTAATAAGCAATTCTCACAGGATTGGGAGGATTTCAGTATCGACCCACTTGCATTGAACTCGAGGAAGTCAAGTGCATGGAGTCTTCCCACTAGACAAGCAGTGTGAACAAAGAATCAGGAGGACATCAAAAGAGTATCAGACGCTTACCCTAAGGATTGTCGAAAAACAGGAGCAAGCACATCAAACATGTAGCGAGGTCTTATAAGGTTGAACACCTGTAATGACTAGTAGGAGGCCAATGCTCAAGAATTTCTGACTCCTTACAAGACAGTCAAAACACATCAAGTACAACTTCCCGATGCTGTGACAATTATGGATGCTAGTGACACCTTAGTCGATTCTGAGGAAAGGACTGGGACAATGAGCACACTACGGGTGTGAGATGACAACCATTAGGTGTTAAGAGAGGGAGTTGTGACAAACGCCAAGTGACAGTTGAGAGGGGTGTTATACAAGAATAGATGATCCCAAGTAGATTACCTCAAATGGTGTCTGAGAGGTACTAGGAGACAAACTCGAGTGCCACCAAGAGGGGTGTTATATGAGAGTAGATGAACTCGAGTAGCACTTGAATGAAGGATATACAAAAATGGATTACCAACTTGAGTAACACCTAAAAATGGCATTACACTAGAACAAATGATCACGAGCAACACTTGAGAGAAGTCCGTATGGGAGTACACTACCTCAAACAGTACCTAAAAGGAGTACCGGTAGAAGTAACACCTGAGTGGGGTGTATACGAGAATAGAATATCCCAAGTGTTGATGAGCACTATGCAGGAATACAGGACCTCTGATGATACCAAAGATAGACATAGTGAAGTGCCACAAGAGAGGGAGATGTTCAATCTTCGACAGGAACCACAAGTGCTCTGAGGGGAGCAAAAACGCGAGCTACAAGGTAAGTTTTGTTAAGAAACGGAACACACCTAGGAGTAGCTACTAGTTGCTTGGGAAGAGATTATACCTACACCTGTAGAATGATTGATGTCATAGACGACGGTATCGTCTAACATAACACAATTAACCCCCCATAATTGTAACATGAAGAGTGGTTGCTTATGCATTGAATTGAAAGGCAAATTCAAACGTAAATGCCTGACCCATGTATGGGGAGTCGGCAAGCGGGGTACAAGACTTGATATATCATGTATCAGAAATAAATGCAAATATAAGAATGTTGCAAAGTTATATTCTTTTCCTTCTAAACCATTATCTGGATTCATGCATCTACTGAAGCAAAAGATAAGAAATTAAGCCAATATTTCAGATTTTAGAGACAATATAACATCTAGAATACTGAAATAACATCTAGAATATTGAAGCAAACAAGAGATGTGAAGAAGAAACTTAAATACCTTGGCAATGCCATCAATTACATCAACCCCCAACACAATTGGATCCTTCTTGTTGAAAATGCAGTTAGGTAAAATCTTGAGAACACAAGGAAAGACTGCTTCCTCAGCAGCTTCTTTCTTCTTTTCCTCTTTAAGATTATCAATGTAGGCCTTGAACTGGTCGAACAAGTGATAGATGATATCAGCAATAAAAATCTTCACACCAAGCTCATCAGCAAGTTCTCGGGCTTCTGGAGTCACTTTAACATCAAAAGCCAAAATAGTGGCATATTCCTTTTTCTTTTCAAGCATTACGCTAGCTTTCATGACATCTTTTTTATGAACGGGTCCTATACTTATTCCACTAACAGGAATGCTCACAGCCGGACTCTTCAAAAACTCCAGCAATGCTTCCAAGGAACCAAGTGTAGATGCTTGAACACAGACTCCCTCACCAGTCTTGTCTATCCTGCTCATTACTGACTTCATATCTTCCATAGCTGAATCCTTAATGTCTTCCAAGTCATCCTCAGGACCTACCACATGAAGACTGGTTCCAGCAATGGCATGCTCAAGACCCTATACAAATATTCAACAGATATATACCAATGAGATTTTATTTAGATCAATCAACTTAATCTCATTCGAGTACCATAAGACCTATGAATCATAAAAAACACTACAATTTTGAGCTATAGTTCTATCTCAAATACATACTAGACAATCGCATACTTATCAGGCTCTTCTAAATAAAATAGGAGTAAAAAAAAAAAGTTGGGCAAGTGATCTCCCCAGAAGACAATTATTTTTTTTTTCGCAAGTGAATGGGGTAAGGACACGGGCTCTAAATCAAATTGGAATGCACAATGTACAATGTCAGACTGGAAGACGGAGGAAAAATAAATGTGATTAGTGAAAGCATTCTCGAAATGATGCTCAGGAGTATGATTATGTAACTTCAATGAAGCTGGCCAGCTGGGATGTAAGAAAGCTGAATCCTTACATTACTTTCTAACAAGTTGCAACAATCAGAAGTCAAAAACATCAGAGATATCTCCAAAATCTAGCCTAATTGAAGATCAAAACGTATGGGATAATTTTTTTGGAATCACTCGGTATGGAGAAGAATTAATGAGCTTTGGAAAGAAAATGTAGTATCTAGTTGTCGTTAGGTCTTGAACGGTGCAAATGGTTCAGAATTTGGTTTCAAGACAATCAGGTGACTCTGGAAATTATGAAAAATGGATGCTTCACTAGGTCAAACCTTAAGGGGGTCTGTCCAACAATCTACTCATTGCTGGGTACCTTTCTTGTATTTTTAAAACAATTGATGAAATGGGAGATTTGAACCTCCAACCTCATGGAATGGGGTTGGTACCTTAACCGTTGAGCTAAGCAGATGCTGATGCGTAGATTCCTTATTTCATAGTCTTGATTGGCCAAAAAATGTCAAAGAAACAAAGGTAACACTTCAAACCGGGGTAATTATCCCGAGGAACTTCTCGATTCTGAATTGTGAATGCATGGTTGAATCGATATTTCTTGGAATAAACCAAGGAAGGAGACAGAAGGGTTAACTTGATGCAAAAATTGAGATATAAACGAAAGATATCTAGAATACAGTGTAGAGAAGAGGAATTGGATGGTATCTTAAAGGAGGCTAATAACAGAGAAGAAAATGGACTATTGACACCTGGAGAGAGAAAAATTGAAGGCAAACTGAATTGGAAGAGGTGATATTTCCTTTCTAATAAGAAACGTCAAATTTATATTCCAAAAAGGAGGACAGTACAGCCTAGGGGCCGGGGGTAGAGAGAACCCCCTCCCCAAAAACTGAATTAGAAGAGGTGATTTTTAAAGACAATAAATAAGATAACGTTCTAGAAATGTGAAGTCAAATGGTTGAGAAAAGAGGACTAGAAACAAACTTATATAACAAAATTAATGGCTACAAAGAGAGGATCATTGTTATATGAATGCTGGTCGTGGAAGGGAGAAACTTGGTAGAGAATATGGGGAAAAGGAAGCAAAATTTGTTTAAGATTAACTCAAACTTTGTCTCAAATTCTGTGTTTTTTTAGCACAATACAACCATCAATAATTCAAACTGCAAACTTATTGAGTGCAAAGATCATCAAAATGTGTAGATGTACATGTGGGGAAAAACCGTTAAATTTAGTAAACATCTGTCAAGTCAGTTTGTGTTGTGCCCAACGTTTATTCGAAATTACTAACACGTGTCTAAGCCAGAATTCATACTTCTTGAAGGGGAAAAAAATAATATTTCTTGATTTATAGTTATGATGAATCACCTGTCCAGTTATTTTAATTCCCTGAGCAGCCTTGATTTCCTTATGATGCAGATACGTACCCTGAAAATTATACAACATCATCAGCTGTTCAATGCAACACTTGCATATTAATTTTAATAGTGTCTCGTCAAGGATTGCAAATTCATAGAGGTCAGATAGGACTTCAGCCATTCTAGAGACTGCACGCAAATATTCAAACAGAAAGTACTACGATACTGTCATCAGCTGTACATTGCAACAATTGCATATAAATATAACAGTGTTTCGTCCAGAATTGCACATTCATACAGGCCAAACAAAATCTAAGCCATTCTAGTGACAATTCTCGGAAATATCCAGGCAGATAAAATTCAATGACCACATTCCCTCTACCAACCACCAACCTTCCCCCTCCAGCTAGAATCGCCCATGCTAACCAAACTGGAACTGGAATTTAGATTCTTTTGTCAATAAGGAAGGTAACCTAAAGGCAGACTCTGAAACGTTCCTTTTTCCAGGTTTAACAGTAATGAACATATTGATCTCAGAAGGGTCATTTAAAAAATCACATTCCTCGCTTCGAATTACATTGTTTTCCTACCTACAGTGCAATAATTATGCAAATACCTCAACCAGTTTGTAGTAATTTCGTTCCTAGAAGGATGTACGACTAAGAGTTCCAGGAAGGATGCTATGACTCATTTATTCTAATAAGAAACAAATATTGTGGCAAACGAAAAACATTTCTCTGCTTCTTCAATCAAGATGATGATTGATTCCAATTTTCTTTATATAAGATTAACTCTAAAATTAATTAACCTATTGAAGTGAATTTTCCTCCAAGGAAGCTTGGAAACACAGTCCAAATTACCGTTGAAGTGGATCACTTGCACACTTGAAATTATTAAATTTAACTCAAAATATGTTTGAAACTGGATTTTGAGTTAGAGAACAGTTCTCTCCCACAGTTAGCCCTAAAATTCTACCTCCCCTCTCTCTCTCCTATATTTTTAACTGTTGGCACTAATTTTCATACACTAACTCAAGCATGCGCTAGCTATTCCCATAAATGACTCAAAAACTAACCAAACCTCGTGTACAAAATGAACCAAAGGTTACTATATTGACAAGATCACATATTACCATTAATTTTTATTATCTTTTGTAAGCAAGATCAACCATCTAAACCTATATGAACAAAAGATGCTAAAAGCAGTCATACCTTCACTCGGAGCTCCTTCATTGGATGCGGCGTCAATAGAGCTCGAATAGTAGTAACAATTGGGCCCTATAACAAGATAATTCCATAAGTTTATTTTGAGGCCCCCTAAACAAAAGATAATTCTATAATATCATAGATCAGTGCTTGCCTGCATGCCACAAACAACTATTTGATCTCCTTCATGCAGTTCTCCATTAACCAATATGACATCAATAGTTGTTCCATGGCCTTCAACAACCTTGACCTCCAAGACCGTACACTGTTGGGACACAATCAGAATATGATCAGCTTTTATCTTATCAAATCATAATGCATTATCATAGAGAAAATAATAAACAGTCACAGTAAACACCTGCACTTCATCACTATATGTAAGTTTCTTCGTCATGGTTTTCTGGGCCCACTGCACCAATAATAATAACAAGTCCGGAATACCTTCACCACTAACATATTCAAAACAAGCTATTAGAAGAATTGAAAGGAAAAAAAAAAGGTGTTGACCGCATAGAGAAATAAAAAACAAAACCATCAAATCAGTGAAACTTACGTAACAGCACTTGTAGGTACTATACTGAAAGTCTCCCCCATTTCCTTATTTTTATAATACAGCTCGGTATTCAATCCCTGCTCTTTAAATTGAGTGATAATCTGTTGACCCAAAATAATACATTCAATCGAAGCACATATTAAGCAGTGATAAAAGAAAATTACAACTGAGAAATGGATAAGATACATAACCTGAATAAGCCTCATATTGAACTCATTCTGCACATCCTTGGATTGCTGCTTCATTGTCTTCAGTATTGGTGCATTGCGGATTGTTTTCCACCCATAAAGTCTGTCAACCTGGAAAGTTGCATAAGTTTTCTTTGTCAGAAACAGATATTTCATACATTGAATGAAAAATAAAAACAGGAGAAAGTACTACAAGATCAAACGTTATAAAGAAAAATGTCAAGTGCAAATGCAAATAAATAGTAGTTACCTTGTTCAGAGCAATAATAAATTCTGTGTTTCTCATCCTCAAGAGATTTAGAGATTCTATTGTTTGTGGCTCTAAGCCATGCATGATGTCAACAACCAAAATTGCAAGGTCACATAAACCAGAACCACGAGAACGTAAATTTGTAAATGATTCGTGGCCAGGGGTGTCAATAACAAGCAAGCCAGGAACCATCAGCTTTGCATCAGCTTTCAATTCCCTAGTTCTTTCACGAATGTTCTCAGCAGGAAAATATGTCGCCCCAATCTGCTGCGTAATTCCTCCTGCCTCTCCCTCTTGAACATTTGTACCACGAATACAGTCCAGTAGTTTGGTTTTACCAGTGTCAACGTGGCCCATAATACAACAAATGGGTGAGCGAAGATTTTCTTCCTGTTGTTTAGTAGTAGTATCTGATGTTGAAATTTTTTTCTTAACAGCATCATCTTTTCGTTTGCCCTTGTCAACAACCTCAACCTCAGGCTGATTCTTTCTGTTTTCAATATCTTGAGACCTTATAGGCTGAGAAGGTAAATTTTTTTGGGCAGGGGCAATTGGCTTGGCACCTGCAAATGTGAGTGTTAGAAAACAGAAAAATCCAATTTCTAACTTCAATATTGAAAACAGAGAAAATGCTAAGAAGAAGATTGAAAAAATCATGGAGATAACACCTAAATATAACAAAATAATGAAAAGAAACAAAGAAATAAAATAATCACTTTATAAGGACATTATATCGTACAGGAGGTTTATATTATAAATAATCCATATTTTATAAGTCTATGCTAAAGCTTCGGACTCCCTCTCGTGAAAATATCAAAACCTAGGATAGAATTGGAGAATAAAGAGATAGGGAGACAAAAAGAACGTTTGTCTCTCTCCTTCTGGATATATTTTTTGAAGTGAGCCACCTAATTAGACCTAATTAGTAGTCATTCAAGTGATAATTCGTGAAGGGAGAGAAAAGGCATGTACCCAGGACATAGCAAGAACAAAAACTAACCAAAAGAATCTATCAAAAAAAGAAAACTGTCACTAAATGCATAGTTGATACTTCCTCCGAGGGGCCCTAAGATAGCTCTAACTAAATTTAACCACAGAATTTCCTGATCTTTTCCTGATCTTTTTTGAAGGGGCGACTGCAACTAGATGACAGAAAAGTTCTCATATCGATTGTAAAAGGGGATATATGCAAGCTAAAGGAAGATAGCAGCATATTCCAAAATCTGCTCGCAAAGTCCCATTATATAAATAAACCCTTTTAGATTCTGAGTTCTTTATACACATAATACACCACAGTACCTTTTGGCAACAATGGAATGGAAGAAATTGATTCACTTGAATTGTGACTCGTTGATGGTGAAGTGGGGGAATATGATTTCACTAAGGGAGACACAAGAAAAACAGAATGAGGCAGTCACTCAAAAGACAAGGATGTACAAGGACTTCTAATTGGGTATTAAAACAGAAGAATAACCTCCCCTATCTCTTTTTTGCTTATAAGCCTTTCTTCTTCTTTTTTTCCTTTTTCTTTGTTCTTTTTTTTTTTTTTTTTTTTTTCCTTTTTTTA